CCCCAGTGCATCAGGGACTGGGGACAGATATGAGTAATCAGTATGTATTAATTAGTGAATATTCAATCCAATGCAAATATTCGATTCAATGCAGATTAGGTGCTAGTGAACATTGCCACCATTTCCCTCCCTACCAAGCACCTGATTTCATTGATTTGGTCATGGAGTTGGTTGGACAACTAGAGCTCTCCAGTCCAGATTCTTAGAAGGGAAAAGAACCTGAAATGCCATTAGACCTTCCTCTCAACAGACCTGTCACATGTTTATCCAGCCTTGGCTTGAATGCTTCCTGCTATGGGGCACTCACTCTCGCCAGGCCTGCTTCAGGGTTAACTTTGGCTGTCCTCTGGTGTATGTGGAACAAATTCACTGTCTTTTCTGGATGAAGACAGTTGTCAGCTCCCTGCAGTTCTCTTCAGATAACCAGCCCCATAACCTACCCTGGGCTGCTGCTTTGGTTTTCTCTGCTTTGTCAAGTGTGACACCTAAGCTGGGTCTCGGAGTTTTGGGTGCAGCTTATCTGCTCTGAGCCCAGAGGGAACATACATCATATTGGAATAACATACCCTAAAACCACATATGGATTGCCCTGGCTGGTGTGGCTTAGGGGTTAGAGCATCTGCCCTCAAAACAAAGGGTTGCAGGTTTGATTCCCTACCCTGGTTGGGGGGATTCAGGAGGCAACCAATAGAATGTGTTTCTCTCACATTGATGCCCCTGCCCCCCCAAAAATCAATGGAAAAATATCCTCTGGTGAGGATTAACAACAAAAAGGACCACATGTGGATTTTTTAAAAAGTAACTGCATTAAATTACTGACTCTCTATACCTGGCTGGATACTTCGGTGTCATCCCGATACTCTAAGGTTTCGGGTTCAATCTCCAGTCAGGGCACATACAAGAATCAACCAATGAATGCATGAATAAGTGGAACAAGGCGTGTGGGGGGGATGGAGGCGGAAGAGGGCATAGAGGAGATATGTGATAGAAAAAAAAAGTGGAACAACAAAATCAGTGTTCTTCTCTCTCTCCCTCTGTCCCTAAAATCACTAAAAAAAAATTTTTTTTTAATTACTGACTCTTTAAACATTTCATGCCATCTAATCCCATGGCTCCTTTGCCCTCTCCAGAGATCATCAGACTCACATCCTCATTCCGATGGTCAGCCAGCGAATGGTCTAGCAGCAGGAGCCTGTGAAAGAGGTCCAGGCCCGAGGGGGCTGGCCCATGGGGTGGTGGTGGGGCCTTTGGCTCCTCAAGGTCACCCCACTCCGAGGGACTCAGAGGCAGTTCTGCCCAGACATCCACATTCAATTTGGGGTCCTGTGGCCTGGACAGATGGATGGGATAGAAAGTCAGATGCCCGTGTTCTCTGAGAAATCCCGCTTGAGAGGCTACCAGGGAGCTTAGGGGAAAAGGGAAGACCAGCCACTGGCTGGAGTTCCTGGAACTCAGAAACCATGAAATGTCAGTCCTGGGAGGATCTTAGAATTGTCAGTTTATAGGAATGGGGGGCATGGGAGTGAGAGGAAATAGGAGTCAGGGAATAGCCAAAAATGCTACAAAATGAGAGCCAAGTCAGCCTGGAGACATTGAGCACTGGGACTAAAAGCAAGGAATTAAGGGCACAGGGATTTGGAAAGAGGAGAGAATTAGAAGGTAATAGAGGCAAAAAGGGCTCTGAAGGGGATACATGGAGTCAGGTTCTGAAAAATTTGTAATCCCAGGAATCTGACTTTAGAAACCAGAAAATTGAGACAGCTGGAGACTGATCTAAGCACTAAAAAGAGCTGGGATGTGGAATTTTGGGTTAGTACCTGTGTGTGGAGTTGTCTTCAGCTGGGGGTATAGGCCGACCAACCGGAGGCCCATGCTGTCCCAGGCGCAGCCCCTGAACTCGGCCTAGCCCCAAGCTGTGGAGAAGCCTCGCAAGGCCCCCTGCAGTCAGCGTGCCATTCTCCCCATACAGGCCAAACAGCTGGGCTAGGTAATGGTTCTGCTCCAGCTCAGCAGGGCCCAGGTTGGGGGCTGAACTCCCTCCCCAGCTCAAGGCCACACATACACATAGGCCAGCCAGCAGATGACTCATTGGGAGCCCCATTATTGGGGGGAACTGGTGAGAGGCTCTGGTTCTAGCTTCTATTCCCCCCGGAACATCCTGAGGACTGTGCCCTGGAAGAACAAGGAAGAAGGGTAAGTGCTCCTGCTCTGCTGCTCAGCTCAGGGCCAGAGGAGATCCCTCACTCCTCATATAGCCCCCCACATTAAATTCAGCAGCAGCCCCCACTCTAGCTGCCTTCCTCCCTCCTCATTGCCTCCTGCCAGAGCAGCCTCTTCTCTCATTTGCCAGTTCCTAGAACACCTTCTTCGACGCTGAGTGCTCCTGATCCAGAGCTGACAGTCTATTCCCTGTCCTCTAAACCCCAACCCTCAACCTTGCCCTACCTCTCTATCTCTATCCCCTTCGATTCCCAGGACCTCACCTCTACTGGTAGTATAAGAACTCCGTCACCTTAGGTCCCCGTCAGGCTTTGTTGTGGACACTAAGAGGTTCCAAGTCAGGGCAGGGAGCCAGCGGGGCTCAGCCTCCAGGCTCCCAGGTGGAATGGAGGACACGTCAGATGGAAGGCTGGGATGGACAAGCCCCCCCCTTAGCCCACCTGCCTTGGGGCGGGGTCAGGGGTGGGGCATGTGTGGGAAGGCTCACATGGTAGAAGAGTTAATGGTTCACTGGTCTCTTGGGTGGGGTCAAAGGTCAGTCTGCTGGGGGGGGCCCCCAGTAGGGAGGGGCCACCCTCTGCCAGTGGAAAAGCCACATGGCTGAGGAGAATCTAGGCCTGGTCTTTTCTTCTAAAAAACTCACCCCTAACTCAGTTGGTACTATTTTAACCTTTCCCTGCATATGCTCCCACCCTACCTACCTTACATTTGGCACTGTGCTTCATTATCTCTACCCCCATCCCCACATTCCCTGGGAAAGTTGGACCCAGGTGTTCCTAAACTGGAGAGGAGGGTAAAGAAGCAGATTAAGTGGCAACCCCACATGCATGGAAAAGAAATTATTTTTAGCAATTCCTCACCCCAGAGAGTAAGAGCCAGAGCTTTGGGAATCAATGACCAAGAAAGGGGAAGCTCTGTTGGGAAGAGGGAAGAAGTATCTAGCTCCCTTCTGATGTCCGACCTGGCTTAAAATCAGGGGAGCAGTCTGATTAGGGCGATTGGTCCAGGGGGTCCAGGTTGGTATTACCTGACAGCAGGAGACAGAAAGGACGCCCAGAGGAAGGGGGACACAGCCTTCTAAGTTCCAGCTGTGAGGGGGGGTAGACAGGCAGGCGGGCAAGGGTCACCTGCAGGGAGGGGGCAGGGGAGGGACATTACCTTAAAGGGGCAGGCCTACTTTGCCTAGGCCTCCTTACCAGTAACTTCTATCTCCTCTCTACCTCCTAGGGACACCCCACTTTCCCAAATACCCAGCTGCTAACCTCTTCATTTTCCCACAAAAAGCAAAGGAATCCAGTACAGAGTGGTAACATTTATTGGGAAGAAGGGATTCAATTAGATTTCCACATCAAACATGTACAAGAAACAGACCATAACTCATTTCTAAAGAGGTCACAGGCAGCTTCAGCTGGACAAAGGGGTGAGTATGGGCTTAGGGGGGATAAAGCCACTTCTCACCACCTCTTCAGTGAAGTTTAGTGGCTAAAATACCCCTTCCCACCCCCAAGCCAGCAGCCCGGGAGAAGGCTGTGTTCTCTAGCAGACACTTGGGTTATGGTCAGTGGTAGGAAAGGAGGAAGAAAGTCTTGCTATCTCTTGCTGCTCCTCCGGGTTTCTTTGCCGTTACTGACAGGGTTGTTGGAAGGGCCAGGAGGGCCAGCAGGTGTGTGGTTGGGTTGGCTTCGGGTAATTCGGGTGCTGGTGGGGTGGGAAGGAGTGTGAGGGGGATGAGGGCCACCACCAGGACCTGGTGGGGCACTCAGTCCATTCCCGTTCTGGCTCTCAGAGGCTAGTTGTGGGAGAAGGGGAAAAAAACACAGAAATTAGAGAACTAAAGTAGGAGAAGGGTGCATCCCCAGGGCCTCCTCCCATACCCCGGAGTACCATAGTCTTCAATCAAGCACTGCACATTTATGCCAAGTGGACCAACTGCAAAGATGTGGATTGTATGAATGGAGCCTCAGGAAAGAGTCATTTTGGAAGTTGCTACCTGAACTCCAGTATGATATTTTTCTCTTTTGTTCATCTCTGTATCATTGAGAGTCAGACCTAGAATTTGTTATTTAGTTCTAGGCTCAAGGACCTCTGACAAAATGCCCCTTTACCAAAAACGACTATAAAACTGGAGAAGCACGGGAAGGGGAAGGGCCAGAAGTTTCTGTGTTATAATATAAGAAGGATCTTTAAGAAAAAAAAGCACACTCTCTTCCTCTCCCCAGAGCATGCCTGCTTGAATCTTTTCAAATGTACTTTCCTAAGCTCCAAGGCCCTTTTTTGCCTCTGTAACTTGTTTCCTGGACCCATTTCTTCTACGGCTCACTTCTACCTCTGTAACATTCTAAATAAACTTTTATTTATATATATCTATATACACACACACATATGTATATATATGTGTATATATATGAATGTACATATGAATATATATGTATATATCATTCATATATGTGTGTGTATATATGTAAAGGTATGGTGTGTATCACAATGATACATGTTCATTTTGGAAAATATAGATAAGAATAAATTATTACACATACTCTCACCCAATCCCCTCCAAAATAAGGAACATTTATATGTGTGTGTGTATACAAATGTGTATATAATACATATACATTTGTGTGTGTGCGTACATTTTAAATGTGTGATTGGAGCCAGGTGTGTGAGATGACTTCCTGGTGCTCCCACAGCTGTGCATATCACTATCATTGCACACACAGTGAATTATAATCATCGTGTGACTATCTCCTTCATAGACTACAAGCTCCTAAAGGCAGGTGCTGTGTTTTATTCCCTGGCATCCCTCATCTATAAAAGTTTGTTAAACGAAAGCAGAGGTCTGCCTCTCATGCACATAGGTCACTACAAACCCTCAGTGGGGTAGAAGTCATAGGCTAGTGCTTCTCAGACCATATTCCCATTGAACCCTACTCCACCAGACTAAGGTATCTGCAACCAGAACTGAAGAATAATGCCCTTTCCCCGATTCACAGAAAAAGTTTGGAGAGTGTATAGAAAGTCAATGTTAAGTTTTTAATGCCAGAGATGTTTTTTGTTAAGCCTTTTGTATCTACTAGCAGAGGACAAAGTAGACAAATGTCTGGCAAAGAATATCAGGGCAAACGGGCTTAATGTACATTAATTAAAATACTTTTAGGAGACCTGAAAATATGTAATAGTCATATTTTCAGTTGAAAACGTGGATGTTAATTTTTGTGGTGGAATGTTGTTATTTCATAGTGTTTCTAAAACACACATGACCCCTGGTGGTCTGACACAAACAATTCTGAAAACCATGGTAACTGAGGAAGGGTAGAGGCAGCCTGAAGCCTAGTGTCAGAGGGAGAAACCTAATACATGGATCTGAGGCAAGAGAGAGCCAAACACTCAGGGAGCAGTAGGGTCAGCCAAGAGATGACCCAGAAGGAGAAAAGAGCAATAAAAAATAGGTTCCTGAGGAGAAGCCACCACTAGTCAAAGGAGGTGGTGTTGGTGAATGATTCTAATTAAAAGCTGATGATGTGCAGTAAGGTCCCAGTTCCTCAAGAGACCAAAAAGCAGGGGTTTGAAGTACATGAGATGGAAGAATTGTAATCCCAAGGCCTAGAAGTAGGGCCTTTAGTTTCAAAAACTGTGCAGAGTGGGCTCTATGTTGAGTCATATAAGTAATGCTGTAATAGTAGAACTGGGTAACAAATTGAATTGAGCAAGGAAAAAGGGCAAGGTTCTGCCAGACAAGCAGCAGAGAGAAACAAGTTAGAATGAAGGAGTACAGTTTTTGTGGACAAACTGTTCTCATTTTCACCTTTGAGCGGTAGTGGCAAAAAGGTATCAGAGCCAGGCCAGGCATGGCTCAGCAGTTGAGCACTGACTTAGGATCCAGGAGATTGAGGTTTGATTCCCGGTCAGGGCACATGCTCGGGTTGCAGGCTCCATCCCCAGTCAGGGACATGCAGGAGGCAGCCAATCAATGACGACTCTCTTATCATTGATGTTTCTATCTCTCCCTCTCCCTGCCTCTCTCTAAAATCAATAAAGATATCTTTTTTTTTTTAAAAAAAAAAAGGTATCAGAGCTCTACCAGTGATAGAAGCAGGTCCCCAAATCTTTTTACCACAGGGACTTGCAAAAGAACTGGGAGAATTGGGTAGGAGGGGATATATATTGAGAGAAGAGAGATTTGGAAAAAGGATGAGGGCAGTGCATCTCTCCAGGCTGGGGAGAGTAGGGGACCCAGGCGGATTAGTGGACAGAAGGAAACAGTTTTACCTGGAGAAGCAGCAGGTGGTCCGGTGGTAGGCTGGGGAGCTGTAGGGCTGCTCTCGTTCTGTACCTGAAGGTATAAATTAAACTCAGACCTTTCTTCCTACCATGCTTCTTGGCCTGACCTGCCCACCCCCACATCATAGCCATGGGACTCACCGTCTTGTTGGGTGCCTGTTGGGCACTGTACTCTGGGTTTGGTTCACTGAAGTTAGGAACCTCAGAATAAACCATACAGAATCTGCAAAGGGAGAAAGTGGCCAAAGCCTCAGACCCACCATCAGGGCCACTGCTGGAGGCCTCAAAGAGGTCCAGATACAGGACAGGGACTGCACACCCTCATGCTGCCTACTTGCAAACCTTAAATTTCCCCTCTTGGCCTGCTGGTTCTATATCCCAATCCCCAAGACAGCACTTACTCTCCAATCTTCTGAAGATCACCCCCACGGCCAGTGTACAATGTCAGACAACCTTTGAACACTGAAGCATACCTGTGGGGGCACAAAAAAGGAGGATTTGGAGTACTCAGAAGAGTTACAGGGACGCTTAACCCCATCCCCTTGACTGTTACTGCCCTTGGATAGTCAGGAGTTACCAGCCAGCTTACCCTTTGGTGAGCCGGATAATGTCCCCAGGCTGGATCAGGTTGCCCACATCGTCCCAGACAGAGATATTGATGCTGCCCGTTTTGTCTGCCACTTTGCAGGTCCGAACTTCGTGACCGTCCTTTGTCTTGGTCACTCGGCCTGGAGGGAAGAGATAAACAGAGCTGGGAGTGGTTAGAAGGGTGAGATCCAGATATGTTGGTGGGGCGAGGGAAAAGTTGTGCAAACAGGGCAAAGCCAAATTTCTGGGGCAGGCTAGGGTGGGTGTGGGAAGTGGAGGAGCTGGCACCAGGGAGAGGACGCTGAATGTAAAGAGGCCAGTGTGGCACTGGAGGCTTAGATCTGGCAAGAGTTCCATCCACCCTACTTTTTTTTTTTTTAATTCTCACCTGAGGATATTTTTTCCATTGCTTTTCAGAGAGAGTGGAAGGGAGAGAGCAACAGAGAAACATCCATGTGAGAGAGACACATCAATTGGTTCCCTCCTGCACAGACCCCGACTGGACGGGGGATCTAGCTGTAACCCAGGTAGTACGTGCCCTTGGCCGGAATCAACCCCGGACCCTTCAGTCCGACACCCGAGGTTCTAACCACTGAGCCAAACCGGCTAGGGCTACCCTACATTTCACTGTAACTCTCTGGGCTGGGGTCTAGGAGAGCCAATGGGTGTGAGCCATGTCTTGGGGTGCGCCCTGCCACTCAGGGAGCAAATTAAGAATGGAGGTGATGTTCTCCCCTGCCTGCCCCCCAACCCTGAGAACCCCCAGGGGGCCCACTGCCCCAGCATAGCCACCTGTCTCCAGCACAATGAAGATGAGGTTCAGATTCTTGAGCCCGGGCTTGATATCCTTCACGAAGGTCTCCGTCGTCATGCTGCCTGAGCCTTGGCGCCCCACTAGAAGGGAAAAAGGGAATGAAGAAAACGCTTGGAGCCATCGCCCCCCATGCTCCACTTCCCAAGGTCTACCTACCACACTCGGCTGGGATCAGGCAGCCTCAAACCCTCTAACTCTTCTAAAAGGTTAGAAATGAACTTCCCCCGGGGCCTCCAACTTCAAGATCAGAATTTGGGGGTCTCCGAATAGGCTGCTTCAGGGCTGGAATGCCCCTTCCCGGGATGCTCTTTCAGTCTCAAGCCCGGAGGTGTGAGAACCAACGGAGAGGGGGTTAGGGAACCCGGTGCAGAGCCAGGGAATAGAATCTTAGTTTCTAAACCTTCCCGAACCCCCATCGGGACAACTCGGGACTTGGTCCATCCCCTCCCCCACCCACAGCCCACCACCCACCCAGGCAGAAGGCAGGACAGTGTATGCTGCTGAGCCGCCCGCAGGGGGAGCCACAGGCCCCGCTGCAGCCGGATGCAGCTCAATGGAACGCGGGAGTGCAGGCATTCCCGGAAGTTTCCCCTGGCCTCCTCCGACCAATTAGCACCGCTCTGGCGCTCCCGGCGCCCAGCCACTGGCCCACTCCCAGCCAATCGGGACCTGAGATTCACGCGCCGGGAAGGGGGCGTATTCCAGGTATTAAAGGAGCCTGGGAACTGACGGGCTCCGCAATGAGAAAGATAGACCACCAGGGGGCTCCTCGGGTTCCAATTTTCCTTTACTTGACTGGGAGAACACACTTAGGATCTAAGGTTTTGTTTCTCCTGTGGAAAAAGGAGCAAGAGTTTTGGGATGCGACGGACAAACGTTTGAAACCTGACTCTGCCCTTCGCTTCTTTTTCCGACAATTCTTAAATGTGTAATCCTATTTTGCAGATAAGCAAACGGAAATTATATAAGAAGCAAGCACACAGCAGGCAGTTTCCTCCTTTTCTCCTACTGCTTTAACCCTCATCTTTATTCCTGATTTGGGGTCCTTCATCTTTAATGTACTACCTAGCTTGGTCAGGGTCTCTGGAAAAAGTGACCCTGACCAAGCTAGACAGACGACAAACAACAGGCAGAAATGGGAACTCGGGAAGAGAGCAAAATTTGCATTAGTTCCTATCACAGTTCACAAGGCACTTGTTCCTAATGCTGTTACCTCACTGATCTCAGGGTCCCCTCAATTACTGAAAAGAGGAGGCCCGGACCTTTGGTTTCCTTTGGGATTTGTTAGATAATCCACAAAAGGTAGCTAAGTAATGTGTATAAACGAGTTACATGTAGCCCTGGCCGGGTAGCTCTGTTGGTTAGGGGGTCCACCAGATACTGCAAGGTTGTGGGTTCGATCCCAAGTCAGGGCACATACAAGAAGCCACAAAAGAATGCATAAATAACTGGAACAACAAATCAATGTTTCTCTCTCAAAAATAAATTTAAAAAATAAACCAATTACAAATGCACATATACGTGCACTACATTTACTTGCGTATATCCATAACAAACACTATTTAATATCCGATCACCCTAAGAGTTCGTGTAATTCTAATGCCTTCGCTAGTTTAATTAATCCCTTACCTTCTTCTAGAGCACTTTTTAGGCTCCACCTTTAATTCCCTCAACTCAGATCCTCTCCCGCCCACCTCCCAACCACGCAGTTGTATCCTAAGGAAATCAAACCACAATCCAGGACGAGGGACATTTAATCTCCCTTCTCTCATCTTAGGTGTTTCAGAGAATTCTACAAGTGTTCAGAAAGACGACGTAAATACGGCAGGAGTGAGGCTAGGCGAGACTGGCAACCCGTTGGACACCCTACATCAAAGCTTTGCGGTCAGACACTCCCCCGCTCCCCAGCCCGCGGTTGCCCTGTTGACACAGTATTCACTCCCGTGACGATGAGTCATAGAGTCGGAGGTTCCGGGATGCTGATCGCCGCTCTGGAAACCAGAGAGGGGCCCGACAGATAGATTACACTGCAGCCCAGACAACTCCGTGGGCCCCTCCAAAGCGAAGTCTCGCCCTTCAGGGGAGTCAGCCTCGGAATACGCCCCTGATGGCCCCCTCGGAAGTACACAGTGTTCTCCCTCCAAATGGCTTTGCAGTTCTCGTAGGGACTATAAAGACTTCCGGTCTAGAGCGGAGGCTTGGCTAGTCTTCCACCCTCTTCCTTGGCCACTGGTAAGCTTCTAGTCTCCATTTGAGTTAAACCAAAGAGGCGGGGTTTGGTGACGAGCTTCCGCCGGGTTGCGTAGCAGCGGTGGGCGGGGCAAAGGACTGTCCCTTACAGCAGCTAGTGGTCGGAACCTTCCTCCCTCTCCTTCCCTTCCCTTTCCCCTCCCAGGGAAGGCTGGGACACGGCACCGGGGCTGTCCCGTGGCCGCTGCGGCCTCAGCTCCAGCCGGGCTGGGGTACGGAGAGTCAGACCGCTTCCAGGGCGGTGCGTACTGCGCCTGCGCGGGCTCCCACCTAAAAGAGGGTTTGGGAAGGGAGGGGGCGATGTCCCAGGGGTATTGGAACCGGGGTTCGAGATATTGGAGGTCAGGATGAGGGATGGGAGTAAAGATGAAAAATGGAGGGAGGGAGTAACAACAGGGAGGAGTCGGGAGGTGTGAAAGGGGCGCAGGAGGGTGGATTGTTGAGGTCTATTAGAGCCTAAAGAAGTGCGGGAGGGGGCCCGGGTGGGCTGGAGGACAGGGAGGAGGGGACCTGAGGGAACAACGTGGTGTTTAAATGGGCAGTGATTGACGGGCTGGAGGAGAAGAGAACATTCTGGGGGCCAGCCAGGGCAGGGGCGGCGGAACCTGAACCCCCGCCCTCGAAGCGCCATAGCTTGGCTCCTCTCCCGTGCCTTGTCTTTGGCAGCCTTGTCTTCCTTCTCCATTCCTTACCCCCTCCCCCTCCCCCCCTCCGTGAAGGAATCTCACATTCCTTACATCCTTGCCCTGGGTTTGCGGCCAAGCCCTCTTTGCAGGCTTCACACACCGGAAAGCCTTTCCCGACGTAGGACGCGGGGGGAAATTGAGGAGTGTGGATGGGGCGCTGAAGAAGGAGCAGAAAGCGAAGAGGGGTGAGGGTGTTTCGCCTGAAGGACTGACAGACATGGTCCCCATTCAGAAACTGACTTTCTTCCTCCTAATAGCAAATGTGGCTGTTAACGAGACCACTGAACCACTGTTCTTGGAGACTAGGTTGTGATAGTGATAGTGTAATTTCTTTCTATACAGGTGGTTTTAGAATCTGACAACAGGGCACGAAGTGGATAGTGTTCAGCTTCCCGGCTGATAGTTTTCTCCCAAATAGGAATGGAGTAGACTAGTGGTGGGGAATCTGAGTGATGCAATAATGTTACTACGCTGTGTGTCCAGCCGACTCTGTGGCTGGGCCTGGTTCCCAGTAATTGAAAAGAAGAAACAAGCTTTTTTTAAGCATTTCCTCACTGGTCCTCAGTGCTCTACATTTATTTTGCATTCTGTTACTACAAATACCTTACCTGAAAATAGCAGTGTTCAGTATGCTTTCACATATATTATGTCATTTGACTTTTCAGCACAACATGGAAGGTAGATGAGGCAGATAATAATTTTCCTTACTTGACAGAAGTGTTACATGGCTTGCTAAAAGTCATACAATTGGCAAAGCTGGGACCAGAACCCAAGTCTCCGGACTCCTGGCCCTCCTCTCAGTTGAAAAATCCTCTTTTGTTCTGGCCAAGGCAGCATGGAAGTAGGATTGATTTTCCCAGCATGGGCAACTATTTGCTTTCTCAGTCTGGAACTTGTAATTAGAAGAAGACTGAGCAGAGCCAACAGCACTGGTTCCTGGAAACATTTCTTGAGGTACAGAGGCATATGCCAGGCTGCTGGGAAATAAGGTATTGTCAAGATGGAAGGAGCATTATACTCCTCTCTGTATTATGGATGGGGAGAAACATATCAACTTACCCCCATCCCCCAACCACAGGGAAGAGAGTGTGGTCTGATATTGCACCTTTATCTCTGATTAGTTTAAAAATAGCACACTAAAGGTGTGGCTGATGAACATAGTAAACTAATGAGTATGTGTACCAGACTCAGGAGATGAAACGGTCCTTGTTTTATGTATAGAAAGCATCCTATACCTGCTCTAGACGGCTTGGCTCAGTGATTAGAGTGTTGGCCCTCAGACTGAAGGGGCCCAGGTTCACTTCTAGCCAAGGGCATGTACCTCAGTTGCAGGCTCAATCCCCCTGGGGCGTGTTGGAGGCAACCAGTCAATGTGGATGTTTCTTTCTCTATCTCCCACTCTCTCTGAAAAGCAATGGAAAAAATATCCTCAGGTGAGGATTAAAAAAAAAATCATATTTCTTTATAACACAGCCCCCCTTAATCTATTGATAGACATGTGATGGTTAGGGAAGGAGTTTGAATGTTTGCTACTCTCCTGCATAATGTTGAATAGCTTTCTCAGCACTGTTCATCTGAAACCTTGTCTCCCTCTACTTGGTTCCATCCTTTTAGTAACAAGTGTCTGGTCAGCCTAATTATACTGCTACCTCTAGTCTTCCCAGTTGCCCACCCTGGAATAATTTCCCAATTCACTGCCTCTTTATTTTATTTTAAAAGCCCTATCCCCTCAAGAATATGTTCTCACTTGGAAAGTTGAATCGCACCTGTACCAACATTCTTGAGTATCTTCATCTTATGAAATAGTTCCTTCCCTTTCTCTTTCTCTTTCCTTTCCTTTTTAAAATACATCTTTATTGATTTCAGAGAGAGGAAGGGAGAGGGAGAGAGAGATAGAAATGTCACTGATGAAAGAGGGTCGTTGATCAGCTGCCTCCCGCTCACCCCCTGCTGGGGATCGAGCCCGAAACCCAGGCATGTGCCCTGACCGAAAATCGAGCCACAGTCTCCCAGATCATAGGTCGATGCTCAACTGCTGAGCTACGGCGGCTGGGCTGAAATAGTGTTTTCCAATTGGAGGATAGGACCAGAATTCTTTTTACATGACATAATTTATGTGAAAGCACTTTGGAAACATGAAAGCATCGTACTGTGCATGTAAGGTATCATGGATGTAGGCATTGTATAGCCACAAATTTAGAATCATTGACATTACTGGTAGTTGTGTGCACAGAGTAAAAGAATCTCTGTCTACTTCAAACTTCTCCCTTTTCTGCCTTCTTGTCCCTTTCTCACCCCTCTCTCAGGTATGTTTGAATCTTCTGGACCATGCATGTGATTTCTTAGCTAATGAACTTGCTCCTTGAGTAGAGTTCTGTATATCTAGCACAGAAACCTTAATGGGGTTGTCTCATCCTCCGCACCCAGCTGCCAGATCCAAGTTTGTCCAGTCTTACTGCCAAGTGAAGGTAGTTCCCCTGACTCACCTTTTTCTTCCCTGTTCCTATTAATAGAGTACTCCTGATTGTGACATCACATCCATCCCCTTGGTGATGGAGCTTATCACTGGGAAAGAAGACTCAGTTGGAGAATAGCCAACAAGATGGGCTACTGGGAGCGTCTCCTGAGTGGCATTGAGTGGAGGCGTCAGGGGGTTGGAGCCTTGTGAACAGGGAACCTGCCCCCCAACACTTGGAAGGTAAAGAACCTTGATTTAGAATCCCATTCCAGGCTTCAACCCTCTTCTCTGCCAGCCTGGGTTGCTTCTGCTCTTGAAAACCTGCTTCTTAAAACTCCTTTTGCATAAACCTTTTCATGATTGGCCCACATAAATCTGTTCTTTGCATATTTATGTTCTCACATTAGCTATTAACTTTTTTTTCCCCAAATAGAAGCAAAAAGTTTCTTTAGAAAGTCACGCATACACAAAAAAAAGAAAGTCACAGAGGTAGAAAGAAGTCAGCCAGCTGGGCTGGGTGGGCTCAGGAAACAAGTTACAAAGGCAAAAGAAGGGCCCTTGGAGCTTAGGAGAAAGAAAAGCAAAGGGTAACGCTCCTGGGGGAAAGAAAAGGGGGAAAGGTGGGGGAGTGCTCCAGGGAGAGCATGCAGCTATTAACTTTTACTTGCTAGTAATTTGCTTAGTAAATTTTACCTTTTTAGGTGTTTTATATGCTGTATACTCACTTTTGGGCTCAAGCTTACACTTTAGTTTGAGGACAAGGATTGTGTTTTCTGTTTCTTTTACTTGTCTCTCCTGTCAAGGGAGCTGTGTAGATGGATGAAGATGAGATTGAGGTAATCACACAAATAGTACTTGGTGCTGGTAACCAAGTGAGAGGTCCTTGCTGGCCTTTGAGGCCTGGTAGGCCTCATTTTAGGTGTTAGATGAATTCTTGAAGAATTGTATACCCTCTGGATTCTTTTGTAGTAAATCCATTAAGGCCCTGGCTCAGTAGCTCAGTTGGTTAGAGCATTGTCCTGATATGCCAAGGTTGAGGTTCAATCCCTGGTCAGGTCACATATAAGAATCAACCAATAGCCCGACCTGGCGTGGCTCAGTGGTTGAGAATTGCCCTAGGATCCAGGAGATCAAGGTTCGATTCCTGGTCAGGGCACATGCCCGGTTGCAGGCTCGATCCCCAATCGGGGGTATGCAGGAGGCAGCCCATCAATGACTCTCATCATTGATGTCTCTCTCCCTCTTCCTTCCTCTCTCTGAAATCAATGAAGATATATTTTTTTTAAAAAGTCGGAGAGTTGCCCAAAGAGAGCAAAGTCAGTCAGTTTATAACATAATTACCCCCTAATTTACCTATTTTTGTTTTATATGTTGAATCTTAGAATCATGGGACTTGTAGAGCACCTTAGAACTTATGTAGTCCTTGGGAGTATTTGAGATCTTGCTCCCCTGCATATGTCATCAGTTTGGATCAAAAAAAACCCTTATAAAAATTAAAACAAACAAACATACAAACAAACATGAAATAAGCCAGTCACAAGAGGACAAATATTGTATTGCTCCTCTTATATGAGATTCCTAGAGTAGCCAAATTCATAGAGACAGAAAATAGAGTGGTGGTTACCAGGGGCTGGGAAAAAAGGGGAATGAGATGTGAGTGTTTAATGGGTACAGAGTTTCAGTTGGGGAAGATGAAAATGTTCTGGAGATGGGTGGTGGTGATGGTTACACAAAGTGACTGTATTTAAAGCCATAAAACTCTATGCTTAAAAATTATTAAAATGGTAAATTTTACATTATGTATATTTTACCATAATAAAAAAAGATAAACTAAACAAACAAACAAACAGAAACTTATGTAGTCCAGGACTCTTCATTTCATATGGAGTAAGGGAACTGAGGCCCAGAAAGGTGAAGTAACTTGCTCAAGGACAGTAATAGAGCTAGAACTAGAACTCGGGTTTCTGGATTCCTGACTCAGTTTTCTTTTTTCCTAGACCTATTTTTTCATTGTGAGAGAGGGAGAGAATGATGAAATGTTTTAGGGATACTGTGAAACCCTTCACTAACTAATTTCTTCACTAGGTTGAAGTTCCTAGGAGTTACCTGTTTTCGTAAGGGGCCTTTTCCTTGTATTTCTGGTGGTTTGTAGCAATTGGGGCTGGAGGCTCCTCAACTCTCTACACATCTGTTGTATTCAAGGCAGAGAGGAGAATTAGTAGAAGGGAGCCTACAGCGCATATACCTGGCGTTTACCCTTATGCTTTTGCCAAGAATTGGTGCCAGCATGCCAGGTTACCCTAAAACATTGATGTTTTTCTTGAGTGAGGGTGTGGATGCATGGTTGGCACACCTGCTGAATAATGAGGGATAAATGTTCAAGTTTCTGTCTTTTTTTTTTAAAAAGTGTTTTTATTGATTTTAGAGAGAGAGGAAGGGAGAGGGAGAGAGAGAAACCCCAATGATTGGCTACCTCCTGCGCTCCCCCTGCAAGCTGGGCATGTGCCCTGACTGGGAATTAAACTGGTGACCTCCTGGTGCATGGGTCAGTGCTCAACCACTGAGCAACACTGGCCAGACTCAAGTTTCTTTAGGAACAAACTTTCTTGAATTCCTAGCTCTCTCTAGGGGTAGACCAGAGAAAACAGCTACAGCAATAAGTTAAAAGGGTATAGGAAGGGGTCTCTTGTATTTTTATAATAATCCGACCAGGAATATATAGACCCGTGTAACAGTGAGGAAGGAAAATAACACAATTAACCCGGTTTGGTTCTGGCCTGCAGAATAGCAGGTGGGGAATGCAGTTTTCAGATTGGTTTCAGGATGTTCAAATCAGGAAGGCTGGCAGAACTCCTACAAGCCTGAAGGGACACCTCAGCGCTACTTTAGTTCAGCTCCCCAACTTGAATGAAACCTTTTCTTGTTCCACAAATCAAGGAGAATATCCAGGAGACTGCTTCCAGTGGCTGTGGTCACTGGCTATGACTCTTGAGGTCTCTGTGGTTTCAGTTTTAGTAAGGCTTCTGCCCCCAGGGCAGTGAGCAGTTGAGTTCTTGTGAGGCATCCCCCTTAGAATGATATCTTGCCCCTTGATGGGCCCACAGCTGTGTTGAGAGTCCCAGAGAGTAGAAAGAATAGTCAGGGCATCTAGGCTATCAGCTTGACTATCTGCCTAGGGGCAGGGCAAGGACCTGGTATAGATCCATGTCAACATTTGTTTCCCATAGATAGCAAATAGAGAATAACCTAATCATATTGGAAATTAAATTTCCCCTTAATTATTGAGGCTGCACCACTGAAAGAATGCATTTATAGGAGGATAGATAAAACCGGAGAGTCTAAGCAGATAAAAGGTGGGAGGCATGGGAGTGTGTTCCATTTAGAAAGAACAATGCCCAGCTGCCCAGCTTCTCTGTGGTTTTGTAAACCCTGACTTTAAGGTAAGAACCTTGCAGCTCCTAACCCTGGCTGGTGGCTTCCCACATCCTCTGGCCATCTCTGCACCAACTAAGGCAAGTTCTCTGTTTATTTTGGGAATGTGGGATCTCCTGAGGCCCCATTAAGATAAGTTTTCAGAATTTATATCCTCCCTTAAGACAATATTGTTAGTATTGATTTTTTAAAAATGTCTTTATTGATTTCAGAGAGAGGAAGACAAAGAGAGAGAGAACCATCAATGATGAGTCGTTGATTAGCTGCATCCTGCACGCTCCCTACTGGGGATCGAGCCTGAAACCCAGGCATGTGCCATGACAGAGAATGAACCTCGATCTCCTGGATCATAGGTCGATGCTCAACCACTGAGCCATGCTGGCCAGGCTGTTAGTATTGGTTTAAAATGAAAAGTTCAGTGAAACACAGTACAAATTCTAGGCCAGTTTTCTACATAGCAACAAGGGAAAAAAGGATAATGTTATTTTAATTCTTTCTCTTGCTCTAAGGATAACTGATTTTTTTTTAAAAAATTAACTCTTGCCCAGCCAGGCGTGGCTCAGCTGTTGAGCATCGACTTAGAATCCAGAAGATCAAGGTTTGATTCCTGTTCAGGGCACATGCCCGGGTTGCGGGGGTCAATCCCCGGTGGGGGGGGTCAAGGCAGCCGATCAATGACTCTCTCATCATTGATGTTTCTATCTCTTTCCCTCTCCCTTCCTCTCTCTGAAATCAATAAATATATATACACTTTTTTTTTAGAAGTCTACATTAAAAGACAGCTTCTCTAATATATATCCTTCTAAATGCTCTCCAATATAAATATGTACACACATAAATATAAACATACTTTGTTTTATTGTTGACACTATTACAGATGTCCCCCATTTTCCCCCCCTTCACCCAGCCCCACCCCCAGGCCTTCACCACATTATTATCTGTGTCCATGGGCTATGCATATATGCATATAGGTTCTTTGGTTAATCTCTTCCAGTCCTCCTATAAGCATACTTTTTTGTTTTTCTTTTTTTCTCTCTTTTTTTAATATATCTTTATTGATTTTAGAGAGAAGAAAGGAGAGGGAAAGGGAGAGATAGAAACATCAGTGATGAGAGAGTTGTCACTGATCGGCTGCCTCCTGCACACCCCTGACTGGGGATAGAGCCCGCAACCCAGGCATGTGCCCTGACCAGGAATCGAACAGTGATCTCCTGGATCCTAGGTCGATGCTCAACTTCAGCCACGCCCGGCTGGGCTCTTTTTTTTTTTTAATCTTCACCAGACGATATTTTTTCCATTGCTTTTCACAGAGAGTAGAAGGGGGGAGAGAGAGAGAAACATTGATGTGAGAGAGACATATCAATTGGTTGCCTTCTGCACATGCCCTGACCAGGGCCGGGGATTGAGCCTGCAACTGAGGTAGTGCCCTTGGCTGGAATCGAATCCGGGGCCCTTCAGTCCTCAGGCTGACATTCTAACCACTGAGCCAAACCGGCTGGGGCTGTAAGCATACTTTTTAACAAAAATGGCACTGTAGCATATGTAACATACATAAATGCTTACTTATTATATAAATAATAAATATATTTAAGTAGTAATAAGAAACAAATATAGCTAAGCCTTATTAATGCTGCATGATATATCATTCTGGATATTTGTGTCTTTTTTTTTATTCTATTATAAGCAACGCTTAGGTAGATAACCTGGTATGTTGTTTTTATACCCTTATGTAATTATTTCTTTAGGCCAAGTTCCTAGAAGTGGGAGTGCTAGGTAAAAGAAAGGGTATATACTTTTTGAGGACATTT